ACACTTCTCTTGGATCTGCCAATTGACAAGAAAAAAAGAAAAAAAAAATCCCACCAACTCCTATGGTATCCAGTGTGATTTTTTTATCCTCCAGAGCCGCCAGTGTGATTTTGGGAGCCTCATCACTAAAAGAAGTAACTTATGGATGACCTAAAAGAGGACCTTATTTGAGGGGCTTATAAAAACCACACCAGCCTCACGAGCATGCAGCCCACTCTGAGCCCAGGCTGGGGTAAGCAAACCTGGCTCTGGTCAGCATCTGCCCCAATCTAACAGGGCAGTGCTTCACTGCAGGCTTTTCCTCTGACACTAGCACTGCACACAGGGATCAGCAAGAGCCAAGTCCAAGCCAGGCAGGACTTCAGCCTGAGTTGCAGCTGAAAGGGCACAGCAGCACCCTGCCAGCCATCACACAGAGTGGGCAGAGCAGCCACCAGCAGAGCTCCTCATGGCATCCCAGTGGCCTAATTTTGGTAGGAGTAGGAGCAGGAGCAGGATACAACATTTAGGAGAGACTTTCAAGAGAGCCTTTGAGCAGATCACATTCAGCTGTCACTGTGCTGGCACAGATTTTTTTCTGTCATTCACTAGGCACCAGAGGGACAGCATCCAAAGTCAGTCCCTGCTGGTGAAATCACAGAAGAATCCAAAATAACTTTCCATCAGTCTGTTGATCTTTTTTCATTATCTGCTGGTGAGGACCTCCCCCAGCCTCTGCAGCAAGAGGCACTTCCTACAGGAATGGGCAAGGCCTTGGAACAAGCCCCAAAAATGGCCTGTCCCTGTGGCAGGAGTGAACACCTCACCCTTAGTGCCAGGCTGATCCAGGCAGTTCCCTGTGACAGCTCTCCTACAAGCTCACTAGAGATGCTGCAGCAGTTATGGGAGGCCATTCCCAGAGTAACAGCAACCAAACACTGAACTACAGCACAGAAAGGGACTGATGAGACCAATTTGCTCCTGTGAACCCATCAGCAGCCACACTGGAGCCAATGCAGTGATGAATGGTGCTGGCCAAAGCAACAGAAGGAGGAGGACATTTCCCAGGTAAGCCCTTCGAGCATATTTGTAAAAAAGGATCTCTGCAGGGTGGGAGCCCCTGGTCAGCTGCACCGCACAAGAAGCTGAGATATTGGCAGCACTGCTGCCTGTCATGGATATCTCATGTCTGTCAGTCACAAATCCTTTTATTTCATTGGACGGGTCAAAATTCAACAGGGAATTCCCCAGCCTGCCCACATGAGCATACACTCAAACAGCCAAATGCCAAAGTTACTGTTCAAAGCAGAAATGTGTGCTCCACACTGGCCAAAACCAGCCATTCCTGAGATATACCTGCATTTCAAGCTGAAAAAACTTTAGCTAAAGTTAGCAGAGCACAGTTCTATCCTCAGGGCAGCCCTGGTTCCTAGAGCCAGATTAGGTACAATGGGATGGGACCACTGCCCGTCTGTGTCCAGGCTGCGGGAAGCAGGGCAGGGCAGCAGCTGCCAGCAAACCAGGAATAGCATCTTAATAGCAATATTAGTGTCCACCTTGCCCTTCTGCTCCAGGGAGAGGGTTTGCTAAAACCTGACACCCAACAGCTTCTCCCCTCAGCTCTGCTGGTGTGTATGCACAAGGGATGTGTGCCAGGCGTGCACACCGTATGCACAAATGCAGTCTGTACACACACGTCAGCATTCCCGCACCGTGCAGTGCCAGCCCCAGGCACACAAACATCCTCCTGGCAAACACAAACTCGGCTACACGAAATGTTAACCCATCAGCATCGCCAGTGACTGACTCCCAGAAGGAGCTCTAGATAACAGTGACAGAAACATTAATATTTTCTGACTCAAGGGCTCCACCAGGAGGAAAAACCAGCCCAGATCATCCCTTTAGGAAGGCCAGAAGGAAGATGCTCCTCTGGCAGGCTGGGTGACCGGCAGAGAGGCCACGCTTGCTCTTTCAAAGCTTTCATCATTCAAAGACAAGGATAAGAAATGTGATGGATCAGCACAGCGCCAGCCAGGGGCTGGCTGCAGCTCCGAGGGTGCTGACATACACACAGCATCCTCGTCTGCTGGAAAAATCTTACCAGTCCAGAAACACTAAGAAAGGTTGGTAACTGCCCTGCCTTCACCCATTTTTATTTCCCAGCAAGGGCTGGGAATACTCACTGACCTACTGCACTCAGCAGTGGTTTCACAGCCACAGCACAGTGCGGTGTCTGCTTGTGGCTCCTGATCACCAACTCATGGGATTTGCCAGGAGGCACATGTCTGCTTGAATGGGAACAATGCCACTACAGAGGCCACTTTGGAATTTAAAAGGGGTATTCTTCCTAGGAGCCTCAGCTCCTACTGCAGCCACCAAAGAGAGGTTTCTACTCATCTGTTGTTCACCACGAGACAAACACCTCCAGGAAGCACCTCCTCTGTCGCACTGGCTACAGCAAAGTCACACACCAGCCTTATTCCAACTCGGAGCACACAGACCATGTACACTGAAGGGACGCTTTGTACCTTCTCTCCCACACACACACACCCATCAGGCTTTTTTAAGCTTGATGACCACAATGTGAGACACACAGAGCCCTCAGAGGCCCATTGGGTTTCTGCCCAGTGCCCAGCACTGGTGGAAGAAGGCACTCTCTGCCCTTCATGCCTCTCTCAAGGAAGGACAAAGAGGCTGCAGTGACATGATTATTGAAATGACAGTCCTGAGAGTGCCTACACAAGCAGGTGTGAAGCTGTGCCAGCTCAGCCCCAGGTGACCAGTGCTTGGCTTCAGGCAGTGCCTGGCTGGCCCCAGCTCAGGGCCTGAACCCGATGATGCTGTGCCCAGGCAGTCAGGGTGCCTGCCCCAAGGGCATGATGCCCTTGATATATCACCTATCATCCATTGAAAATACATTTTTGGAGTGTTCATTGAATCTTACGGACTCTCAAAAGATTTCTCCTTGACCCAGAAAATCCTAATTCAAAACAAAACACCAAATCCACTTGTTTGCTCACTAGACTGTAAAACCTATTTCCAGGAACAAGAAAGAGCAAGTCAGGAGCTCCAAAAAGTGCAAGACGATATATGGAGCACTCATAACTTTCTCCCACAACCCAAGAGCTGTGAATTCTGACTTGCTCTGTCACATCCCAATTTTATGACTTTGGATTTCACAAGGAAGCATGTAACTCGTAAATGAAGGCATTGGCTTCCCCACACTCAAATTTTATTGAAACTACACACATATTTTACACACAAATTGAGTGGGAGCTGTTGTACCAGACTTTGGTATCTCATATACATTTACAGAACCTGAGCACATTGCAGTTTCACATTAGAATACTCTCTATACTCTCATCATAACTCACAAGACTCAAAATAAATGCTTTTCAGTACTTTCAGTAGTATAATAGGTTCCAACAAAAGACCCATTTACAATATTTTTCTCTTTCTCTCCTATCAACTCAGTATTTCCAAAAGGCACTGGGTTTTCCCTTTGAGTTCAGTTCTCTTCCAGCTCCAGGATGTTAGTGAGGGCCACCAGCTCCAGCTTTTCTCTGTATTCTCAACGTTCCCCTCTGCCCTCTTCCAAGAGCCTTATGTCAAATTATGTAGGCTCTTCTCTAGGAAAAAAAAAGCTGTTCCATTTCCATGCTCAGTACATACTGATCTTCTACAGAGACTAAAAGAACAGAGTCGATTTTGCTGCTTATTTTTACAGCATGGACAGTTGTCCACTAGGAACTATGCTAAGGCAGTGGACCTTTTTCATGGAATTCCAGTACTCAGGACTATCTGGGCTGATCTGGGCTGGCAGGGAAATAACATTTACACCACCCCATCACTGATAACCCTGGGCTGTCAGTTTGGCTCATGGCGGGTGTACCAAAAGCAGCACAAGATGTTTGCAACAGTAAGACTTACAAAAGCTCTTTCACAAAATGCTGAACATTGTGAAAAATGCTTGGGTTTAATAAAGCAAAACCCTTTGTCTAGCTCTGGTACACTCACTTCATCTTGGAAAAAAAAGAGCCTATCTATTTGCAAATAAACCAATAGCTGAATAGCATCCCTTCCACCCCAAGTACCACTGCAGTACATTAGCCACTCTTCAATCACTCCATTCTCTGTGTGTGGTATCAAAAAAATCACAGTTTTCAGGTAGACAATCAAAAACCATCTTTGTAAGATGCTGCTAGTCCATACTGCTTCTGGGTTTGTTTTTGAAATGTTAAATACCTTCTTTCAGAAGCTTTTCTGTGACAATAGTTCCAATGCTTGGCATCAAACACAACTTGATGTACCTTCATATGTTATTGGGTGCTTCCTTACAGCCCAAGTAGTCTATTTGTAGCATCTCAAGGAACAAGCCCTTGGAATAACGTCTTCTCACCCCTTCCATCCACAGGTGCAACCAGGAAGGGGAGAATATCAAACAGCCCAGCATGACAGGGGGAGATGGACAACACCCAGAGCTGGCTGTTTCAGTGTCAGATGATAACACACACGAGTACAGACTGCTTAATAAGGCACTTGATCAGTGAAGCAAGGAAAAACAGGCAGCACAAGCCAAAGAACTACAGGATATGGTTTTTCTCCACTGTTAACAGGTGTGCCTTTTCAAGGACCATTCAAAGTCCACTGACCTATTCAGTAACAGCTGTAAAGCTGTGATTCTTTCACATGTATTTGAATTAAATGCCTACCAAGACCCATCAGTTTTCCAAGCAGAGTAACATTTTTTTCAGACAGAACCCAGGGGAGATTACACTTAATTCCTGAGTTTAATACTATTCCATAGTTCAGATTTCATTAAGGTCTTCCCACATTCAATTACTACTGTATCTGCAATAGGATAAAACAGAAGAGACTTTACTGTAGGCCAAATCTATAAACATGAAAACAGAAGACAGGAAAATAATTTGTAGCAATGTTTTTACATGGAGTGATACCTTATCTGGTTTTCAGATTAAAATACCACAACATGAGGTAAATATGCAGTTTGTTTTCTTAAAACACTACTGAAGTCTTTAAAAAGTAGTAGCATCCATGTCATCTTTAAAGACAGCATTGACAGCGGATGAGTCAAGGGAATCTTAAAAAGGCCATCCTTTTACAAAGCCATATAAATCTTTTACAAATGATCCCCCTTTTTTTCGTCAAATACCACAGAGAGAAATATATTTACCCCTCTGACAAACAACATGAAAATCTAGGAAAAATATCCCAGTAGACTCTGATTTCCATAAGAGGAAATTAAGTCAACTTCCCAGCATAAAGGGAGATGAGGAGAGGGAAACAGTCACCATTCATTTGCCAGGTTGTCAAAAATCTGCATCCAGAGTGAAGACATTGTCCATTGTTTCTGCCATAACAGCAAAACGTTGATATTCTGAAACCCGCTTCTCAAAGAAATTTGTTTTTCCTTCCAGAGAAATATTCTCCATGAAATCAAAAGGATTTTCTGCATTAAAGACCTGAGGAAGGAAAACACACTGGTGATTCTCAAAGGGAAATAATGCTTTAAAAACCCCACAACAAAAAAACCTGTCAAACCCTTTCAAACTAGACCACCTCTGGTTGCAATATCCTGTAGGATCTATGGACACCTATCTAAGCAAATTCAGCACTGCCACTCCCAGGAGTCTGGTCTGTGGTGAAGTTCACTTGTGCAAGGTGCTTGTTATTCTTCAAGCACTGCAGCATCTGAGCACAGCTTACATTTCCCATTACAAACCTGCTGAGCAGCTGAAGGGAAACAAAGGCCTAAATTGTTCTTGCTCTTTTACAGTGAAGCACAGGTATGAATGCTGTGGTTTCAGCTGTCACTCACAGGAAGTCCATGTGCTAAATATGACCTGCTGCTCAGAATGACAAGGGAGTGCTTTGTGCTGACAGTTCTCGTGGGCTGCACTGGCAGGCCAGCATTTGGGGCAATTGCATCTCTTACCTTTGAGAACCCAAGCTCCATTAGTAACCGGTCTGCAACAAATTCAATGTATCGTTTCATCAGTGTGCAATTCATTCCAATCAGACCCACGGGTAATGCCTCAGTTAGAAACTCCTAGAAGTTAAAATACAGATGACATTTAGAGAAATTAAATTTAAGAAGAAAAAGGAGAGAAGACACCTGTGTTTCACTGTAACATACTTTGTGATGTTCCAGGCTCCCCAGGAAGTTGTCTGAATAAATAACTTGCATCGCTAAATTCAACAAGTATCTTCTGTTTTCAGTAACTGTTTGTATCCTCCTTTATTTTTAGCCTATTACTAAAGGCTAAAGGCACAAGATTTTTATTGCTGCCCCTCTAATCTGCCTTTCTCCAATCCCCCAGCATAAGCTTCACTGTAAGCTTAAGCTCCAACTTCAATAAACCTACAGACCACACTAGTGGGAGCAGGGATAGATCAAGAAATCACCAGTTTTCCTGGCTTCCAGCCACTAGAGAATGACAGATCAGAGGGCAGTGATATACATGGGTGCTGAACCCAGTCGTGTATGTTTAGGCACCAATGCATATCTGTCAGTGTTGTGAGACAAAGCAGGAGCATTTGTCATCATCACAGCAGTTACATGACAACAGGAAAGAAAACAAAACTAGAATCCTGCCAAACACTCAGCCATGCAGAAACTTGTGTCTGCAGAAGGGCAGCACTTCACATGAAAGAACCTGACATCAACCTCGGGAAAAGCCAGAAGACAGCATGATACTTGTGGCAGAACAGACCCTTCCTTCTCCTGATGACAAGCAGAGATGTGAATACAATAGGGAGAGACAAAGATCCTGAAAGGACAGACATAAACAAACTCCTTTCTAAGAGATAGCTGCAGTAGGACTAGATGATTACTGCAGGTCCCTTCCAACTGGAACTAGTCTATTCAATATCAAATAAGACAGCTTTTCTTCCTTTCTGTCATTAAGGAGAATATCAGCTGCCAGCTTCAGCTATCCCCAGTTGCTTAACAACTGAAACAGAAAGTCTGACTCTTACTGTGACCATTAAGGAGGAGGAAAAGAATAGTATAATGCATCAGGGATCAAGCCTGAGCCAAGTATCAAACATGGAATCCAGAAAATCAGAAGTTAATTTATTTTCACACCTCAGACTGGGCTTGTGCTGCCCACAATGTTGTTACAGCCAAGATTACCTGCTCAATTTCTACAGCATTAACGATGATCTCACGGACTCGCTCTTCTGATGGTTTGTTCACTAAATAATGGAACATTAGACAAGCAAAATCACAGTGCAAACCCTGAAATAAGAGAACAATGAAAGAACAGTCAGTTTTCCCCTCTTGCACATAGTTCGCTGTTATTTTCAGGCAGTCTCATTTGGGTTGAAGTTTCCCAACCTCCTGCTTTTAAGAAAGCCTTAATGTTATCACATGTAATGTGGACTTGTAGTTTACAACCCAGTAACATCTCGAATCTAGCACATGCCACCTATGCCAAAATAATGTTCAGCACCCATGTTTCTCAGGTAAAATTTTTCTGAGGGCTGCTCTATTGTGAGTGATCCTACAGAGTCTTGCTTGTCTCTGCCTCCTATCAGGGATGATTTTGCTGAGAGACTTCTACATCAAGATCCGCAAAACTACTTGTGAGTTAAAACAGGCTGTTTGCCTGCTCTTCGCTTTGAGATATTTCAATTCTTTCAGTAGTATTTCTTCCCTTGCTTCTCCCAAAAGCATTTTCAGAAAGGCAGATCCAGATTAAAGTCACCCAAGATTAACAAATCATCTCTGCCCCAACTAAACCCTCCTTCTCATTTCACCAGCTATCCTACACAGCGCCTAGTAAACTGTGTTCCTTTCCAGCATTTCTTTCCAGCATTTCCAGAAAAATCTCCCACCAAGGTAAGAAAACACCAGGAGACAAGCAACCCCAGACAGCTGCTCCAAGAGGCACCTCAGCTGCTCTTTGGTTTGCCTGGGTACAGCTTGATGGTCTGGCTTCAGCCACAGTCACCACTGCCAGCCACACTGAAGTAGCACTGTGCTACCATTTCTCCTCTCAACTGCAAGGTGGTGATCACAGCAAATAAACACCAAGAGGGCACATCCAGAGTGAAAACCAATCAGAAAGAATTTGGCAGACTTGGGTTACGAGACAATCCAATATTATCATTAACAAGGGTCAAAACAAAACCTGGGGGCTGACCTAATAGAGAGCTGTTCTGCTGCAAAAGACTTGGGAGTCTCAGTGGGTAACAAGTTGACTGAGCCAGCAGTGCCCTTGTGACTAGAAGGGCCAAGGGTATCTGGGGGTGCATTGGGAAGAGTGTGGCCAGCAGGACAAGGGAGGTAATCCTCTCCCTCTGCCCATCACTGGTGAAGTCACATCTGGACTGCTGTGTCCAGTTCTAGGATCCTCAGTACAAAAGAGACAAGGAGCTACTGGAGAGGGTCCAGCAGAGGTCACAAAAATGATGAGGGGTCTGGAGCATCTTTTTTATGAGGAGAGACTGCAGGAGCTGGGCCTGTTTAGTCTGGAGAAAAGAACACTGAGAGGGGATCTCATTAATGCATGCAGTTATCTCAAAGGTGGTGTCCTGCTTTAGGAATGGTACTCCCCAGTTCAGTGCCTGCACCAAAGCTCTCCCAAACCAGATGCCACTTGCTCGCTCCCTGCCCCCACCAAGACACCTCCAGCTTCCCCTTGCCCTTTCCTGCTCTGTGAATGGAGACACAAGAGGTGAAAATCACAGGATGGATAAGAACAATATACTGGAAACAACGAGGTAACAAAAGGAACAGTAACAGCAATATGAACCACAAAATGTGTAAGACAAAGAAGCTCTTTACATGGAAAACCCATGACAAATACCGACCTGCTCTTCCCAATTACATTTTTTCCCACTGGAAGGAACACCCTTCTTCTCAAAAGCAGGAGAGGCAGTCCCTTTCCCCCACCCCTGCCCTCAGGTCAATGACCTGAAATGGCACCCAGTAACATTAGGTCTTAGCCACGCCACACAACTCCAGGCTCTACCCCCTCACAGATACTGTAAAAAATTAACCTGTCTTTGGCTGAAGCCAGGACAGATAGGTGCCAAGAGGATGGTGCCAGACTCTTTTCAGTGGTCACCAGCAACAGGACGAGGAGCAATGGTTGTAAACTAAAACACAAGAAGTTTCACCTCAACATGAGGAAGAACTTCTTTACGTCAAGTGTGACAGAGCACTGGAACAGGCTGCCCAGGGCGATTGCAGTCTCCTTCTCTGGAGACATTCCAAACCCACCTGGACACATTCCTGTGTCACCTGCTTCAGGTGACTCTGTTGACCCTTCCAACCTTAACAATTCTGTGAAAACCTTTTTGGAAAGGCTATAAAATTCTAGTGATTAAGGTCATGAAACAGCCTGAAATAACGTAATTTGGGAAATATCCACTTCTCTAGTAACTGCATTAGCTTCCTGCTGCAAGGTTTCCCATGGTCTTATCCAGAGCAACATCACCAGCAGGATGCAGGACGTGCCTGACTTCCCCCATGAACCCGTGTGCTCTGCTGACTAGTGCTCCCACCAGCTTTGCACCTTTAAGTATCAGAGATGCACCAGCCCAAGAACAGCCTGGGAACAGAGCCAACAGCACAAAAACCACACTGAGCGTTAATCATTTATCTGTCCAGGTGCATCAGAAAACACTTTGTAGTTTTCCATTGTGGATTGTTTTTACAGCCACTAGGTTTCAGTGCAGGTGCTCTGTGCACCAAGTTTTAATCTTCATAACAGCACTGCAATTGGAATTATGCCAGCAGAGCTCCAGAAAATTTTAGTCTTTTGGTGCTGGACTCTGCAGAGAAGTACACTTACATTCACTCACCTGCAAGTGATCCTTGCAACAAACAAATCCTGCCTTGCTCAAATGGATCAGTTCATGATGACTCACAGAAGACATATGGAAGGTGAAGGCTGAAGAACTATTTGTTTTTCCTTACTCATCATCTTTTAAAGACATATTGTAAGATGTCTCATTTCAAAGCAATTTATCTAACCCATGAAAATGACTTCCATTATAAAAAAGCTCTTTACACATTAAGACCAACTCTGCTAAGTTACAACCACTAGCATGTTTACACTGCATACAAAACTGGTCTTTCTACTTTTTCAGTGCTGACAGCAACATAAGTAGCGCAGTGGACAGTCCCCAGCCATGAACAACAGCTGCCAGCTTGCAGGGAGCAAGGAAAAAGAAAAGAAGGAAGCAGTGAAAAGAAGGGCCACTTGTAAGCACATGGTCTATCATATTCAGTGTGGTGACAGGCAGCCCCTCAGACACCTCACATCTTAAGTTAGGAAGCATTCTCCTCAAAGGCAGATCTCTAGTTGCCCCCTCCCAGGAGATTCTATTGCTGTGCAGCAACACAAGACCATGGCAGAAGTTGTTCTGCAGCAACCTGCCACAGCAGCCTCGGTGATGGATGCAGGTGGCTCTCTCTGGGACCCACAGCCAGGGACAGGTGGGGAGTGGTACTTCAAGCCCACCTGAACCTGCCTGAAGCATAGCAAGTCCCAGAGTCACACTATCCAGGTCCTTGCTCCAGCCAGCTCCCCGTGCAGCTGGGGACCATGCAATTCCACCCCACTCCTTGAGCAGCTGTGCCTTTGCTTCCCTTCACAGCACAGGAAAACAAACATCCCCTTCAATGTAAAAAAATCCATCTTTTTGATAATATGACATACATTGGTGTGCTGCTTTTGGCTGGTGTGCTGTTTCAGGGTAGGGCTGATTTTCTTCAAGTATGGGATGGGACTGTGTTTTGGATTTGTGCTGAGCACAGGGCTCATCACACAGACATGTTTTTGCTATTGCTGAGCAGGGCTTACACAGAACCAGGGCATTTTCTGCTTCCTGTACTGCCACCCTGGTGAGGAAGTTGGGGGTGCATGGGAGGTTGGGAGGGGACACAACCCCTGTCCTGAGATGGGACAGGTGACCCAAACAGACCAAAAGGATATTCCAGACCATGTGACATTCAGCATATAAAGTGGAGGGAAGAAGAAAGAATGGGGGGGACATTTGGAGTAATGCCATTTGCCTTCCCAAGTCACCACTGCACTTGATGGGGCCCTGCTCTCCTGGAAGTGGTTGAACACCTGCCTGACCATGGAACACAGTGAATTAATTACTTGTTTTGATTTGTTTGTGTGTGTAACTTTTGGTTTCCCTATTAAACAGTCTTCATACCAACCTACGAGTTTTCTATCTTTTACCCTTCCAATTCTCTCCCTGATCCTACTGGTGGGAAGTGAGAGTGGTTGCATGGGGCTTGATTTCTAGCTGGGGTTAAATCACAATTGGGACATCAGCATTTATGTTTACTCCCTTTAAAAACAGGTATTTCTGCTGAGGGACCCAGGGGCAGTCAGGCTTTATGTTCATCAGTGCTGTTTGCTGGGTATAAAACCAGCTGGATGGCCAGCCCAAAAAGAGTGGTTAGAATTAAATCCAGTTGGTAGCTGACCACAGGAAGTGCTCCCCACAGCTCAGTTATGCTATGTATGCTATATATATATGTGTGTGTGTTCATTGGCCCGAGTGGCCAGTCCTGTTTAATATCTTTATCGGTGGTAAAGTGCACTGAGTGCATCCTCAGTCAGTTTGCAGAAGACACTAAGTTTAGTAGGAATGTTGATCTGCTGGAGGCTAGGAAGGCAGAGAGATCTAGACAGGCTAGATCAGTGGACTGAAGACAATAGTATGAGGTTCCACAAGGCCAAATGCCAGGTCCTGCACTTGTGCCACAGCAACCCCTGCAATGCTACAGGCTTAGGCAGAGTGGCTGGAAATCAGCCCAGTGGAAAAAGACCTGGAGTGGCATCCTGGCTTGTGTCAGGAATAGTGTGGCTAGCAGGATCAGGGCAGTGACTGTCCCCCTGTACTGGGCACTGGGGAGGCCACACCTCAAGTGCTGTGTCCAGTTCTGGGCCTCTCACTACAAAAAGAACATTGAGGTGCTGTAGCCTATCCGGGGAAGTACAACAAAACCAGTGAAGGGTCTGGAACACCAGTCTTATGAGGATTGGCTGAGGGAGATGGGGGCGTTTAGGCTGGAGAAAAGGAGGCTCAGGGGAGACCTGAGCTCTTTACAACTACCTGAGAGAAGGTTGCAGTGAGGTGTGGGTCAGTCTCTTCTCCCAAGCGACAGGACAAGAGGAAATAGCCTCAAGTTGCATCAAGCAAGGGATTAGATTGGATATTACAAAAAAAATAATGGAAACTGCTGTCAAGCATTAGAATAGTCTGTCCAGGGAAGTGGTTGAGTTACTATCCCTGAAGGTATTTAAAAGACATACGAATCTGGCACTTAGGGGCATGGTTTGGGGGTGGACTTGGCAGTAGCAGGTTAACAGTTTGATTCTGTGATCTTAAGTCTTTTCCAATCTAAATGATTCTATGATTCTGTAAGTATTGGCAAAAGTCTGCTTCTTTCCCCTTCCTCTGTAAAGACTATAGGCTCTTCAGGAATATAATTCTACCCTTCCCCTGGAAACTCACTTTTCTTCCCAAACAGTGTGTAGGACATGCCACATTACCTCATCTCTGCTAATAAGTTCGTTGGAGAAAGTCAATCCAGGCATCAGGCCCCTCTTCTTCAGCCAAAATATAGCAGCAAAGGAACCCGAAAAGAAGATGCCTTCTACTGCAGCAAAGGCGACCACTCTCTCACCTGTTTAACATAACACATTTTTTGTTACACACAAATTGCTGTATTGCTCATCAGCAAGATCCACCATTTGCACCAGACAGAGTGATGCTGGAGAGGAGCAATCCCCTTTGCAGCACCAAATGCTGTCTTTGACCATATCCATCTGCAGATCCTGGCACACAGAGGGTCTACACACCCCACAGCACTCAGCCATAGGCAACACACCAGAGCTGAAGAACTAGGCACACACTGAAACTGCCACAGGTCCAAAGTGGCCAAGACATTAGTACTCCATTATCTATTTCTCCTGAAAGGCAGGAAAGCAGCTGTGTAACTGACAGCCAAAACTGAGAAAAGGGCCAATCTCTTATAAATTAAACAAAAAACTCTACACTACAATTTCTTCTTGTTGGGAATCTACATAAAATCATATTCTTACAAGAGTGAAAGACTACAGAACGTAAGTCAAGACACAAATACTATTTGTGTTATCCCATCTTTAATCCAAGGAAAGCAAGGCATTATTGCTCCCAGCTCCCCCTGTTCTCTACACAAATATATTTCTTCAGACTACAAGACCATCTGACTCTTTACTGGGGCCACATCATTCCATGGACACTACTTCAAACAACTTCCCAGGCTCACTGTGTATGTTCCAGCATGAAGAGCTTTGGCACTAAGTTCTGGTGCCTTTTCCCAATAAGAACTGCACATAATTTTGTTTAAAAATTAACCCAAAGTAGCCAGATGTCCCACTTCCTCTGTGAGATACAAATGCCAATTGCTGGCTCATGTGAAAAAATTCAAATTGGGGAAAAAAGCACAGAGAGCAATACCAACTTAGAAGTATCACAGAAGTTATTAAGGAAAGAATTTCTCTAGCAACACTAAAAATCTCATAGGTTACTTCTATAGAGGAATGGAGAAAGGCTGCTTATAAAATATAGGTTTAATGAAGCATAAGACTGATAATGTATTTGGATAAAATGCATGAAGTTTGGGGGCAGGGAGCACACTGCTTTTGGAGTTAGGAAACCTTCTGATTCCTGGCACACCCCACACTGCTGGGAGCCAAAGAAAGGGATGATGAAGGGGCTCCACACACAGAAAGCAAAGCCAGACTGGGAGGCAGTGGGAGCTCCAGACAGAACAATGTACAGCTACAAAAAAGAACCTATCTCAAACAAGATCTGTGAACAGATGCCACAAAAGAATGATGTTCAGATTTATTTTGTTCACCAGGCTGAATCTCTCCATCTCCTACACTTTATCAAAATACAGAGGATGTTTGCTTTAAAAAATTCACCGGAGTGCACCCATTATGGATTTCAGCTACAGCAAACCCTTCAAATTCAACACTGTAAGAATGCAGAACACTGCTAAGGATGCACCATGCTGATGGAAGCTTAGCCACTGTCCCAGCTCTGAAATGAGATACAAAAACTAGAAACCTGATCCCAACAGCAAACCAGACACACCAGAAATAGATGGTTCTTGAATCTTTTTTGCCCAGGCTCAGTCATGCCTCAGTTACAAAAAAAACCCATGGATTTCTCTATAGGAACATGAACACAGAAAATACCTGGACATGAAAACTTCAGCTGTTCAGTTCTGAACACTGAGTACAAAAAAAGAACCAACTAGAAGAAATAATCAAAATAATCAAAACTAGAAGGTCTACAAGCAAAAACTAAGGAAACCTGGGTTACTCAGTACAAAGACAAAAAAGAGACAGAGTATTTTTCATGACATGATTGCAGGGGGCACTGCCATTACTTTATTTCTCTAGCTGAAGATAAAAACATACAAGCTCACCAGAAGTTACTTCTAGTTCTTTAGTTAAACCAGAGACCCAGAAGTCACTACATCTGTGGAGAATTTCATTTCATGTTCCAGGGGTGCAGCTTACTCACAGTAGGTCAGTTTATGATATGCAATAGGAACAAGTTTTTAAAAAGCTACACACCAAAAGTGGATTCTCGGTCTTCAATCCACTTCAAAGCCCAGTCTGCTTTCTTCTTAACACAAGGCATTGTTTCAATAGCATTAAATAAGAAATCCCTACAGAAGAAAACAGAGACAAAACATCAAAATAGTGATTTATGTAAATCTGCCCTGGCTGTCCCTTCTAGCTCCACTAGACAGGATCCCATTATGCAAGGCTCTGAACTAACCCAAGAAAGAGACCATTCCCACCCAAAGGAGGTGATGATCTGTGCTGCTTTTGTGTGGGATAGAGTTAATTTTCTTCCTAGTTGCTTGTGCAGTGCTGTGTTTTATATTTAGAATGAGAATTATGTTGATAACGTGCTGATGTTTTAGTTGTGGCTAAGCAGTGTTTACAGCACTCTTCAGCTTCTAACCCCACCCCACGAGTGAGCAGGCTGGGGGGAACAGGAAGCTGGGAGGGAACACAGCCAGGACAGCAGACCACAGGTGGCCAAAGGGGATGTCAGGCTCAGAATATAAACCAGGGGAAAGCTGGCCAGGGGCCGCTTCTTTGGAACTGGCTTCAGTGACAGATTTCCCACAGGTTTGTAGCACATCCAGAGGTTTACCTTTTCTTGGGATCTTTGATGTAGGTGTCTATGAGCAAGCTGTACATCTCTGAGTGAACATTCTCAATGAGAATCTGAAAGCCATAGAAACAACGAGCTTCTGGGATCTGCACCTCCTGACTAAAACGTGCCACCTACCAAAAGCAGAAAATATGGCAATGAGTACAATAAGACAGTCCTGCATGACACTACTCTGACCTCAACAGGAGAGACAACAGATCTCTGCTACAGAGACAGGATGGGAGCCGTTTGGTCCTACTTTGTTCACAGACATATCGATATGATAGCTGTGGTGCAGAGGAAAATAAAGCAAGCTAGCCAGAAGTAAATATATCTAAGAGCTGAAGCATGAAGGCACACATACACAGGAGAAGAACAGCAAAATAATGCAGTACTAAACACTTACTGAACAAAGCCTCAGACATTTTGTTCATAATTAAAAATATAAACAGAATGACATAAGGCATGTTCATGCAATATATGCACATATATAATACATGTTATAAACATTCAAACATTTGAGATTTAATTTGGTCATTTGCAGACAGATACCACTGCTAACCAGTGGATGAGATATTCTCCAGCTCAGGACAGATATCATCAAGGAAAAATTCCCCACCTTTTTAGCAGCACCCACCTACAGTTCTAAGAGATTCCAGGATGCCGTTCAGTGAGAACAAAACGGATTTTGCCAAAATGAAGAACACATGGCACAGCCATGGTCTGTATTCCCTATTTTTCAATTAACATGAGTACAGGAAAAATATGGGGTTATAATAATTTATTCATTAATGCACATCCCACAGCCAAGCAGGGCTGAACTTAAAAACAGTGTCCCAGAGTGATGTGATTTGGAGCCCTGATGACCACAGCTGACCCAATTTAACTCAAACACTGTTACCAGACAAACAAGCTGCTTATTCCACTTGACAAAGGTGAGATGGAAAGGAAAAAAAAAAGTTCACACTTAATACACCTATGAATTAATGTGAAAAAGCCAAAATGTAAAGTTAATAAGACAATGACATGACTAAGTATTCTAAGCCCCCTTTAAGTCTTTCTCACCAGGTTTTCATTTACAATTCCATCACTGGCTGCAAAAAACGCCAGAACGTGAGAGATAAAGTATTTTTCATCTGCTTTCAGCTTGTTCCAGTGAGGAAGGTCCTTTGACAAATCAACCTAATGAAAAGAAAAAAGGAAAACATTATTGTCCTTCTGCATCTGTCGTTCTGTAAAAACAAGCAGCCCAGTCAAGTGACTGAGGCAGAGTTTTGGTATTTGCTTTCAAATCTTCACTTGTAGGGAATTTAAATACTTGTGACTGTAAAAGACAACAGAGACACTGCAGTACTGTTGTCTCTCTCTGCAACAGTAACAACATGTACTTGCTTCAGTTAACACTTTTGTAATCTGGAATAAAAATCGGTGTCTATTGAATAAACAAATGAGATTTTGAAAATCTTTAGTATCTTTTTGTCACAAATATGAACATACACCAGTAACCAGAGTTCATTCTGAGACACCTAAACTTGACTTGAATAAATGCTGAAACTCCAAGAAAGCTATATCCAAGCATGTCAAAAGATGGACTGAAGGGACTTCTGCCTTTGGCAGGTGTTCAGCCTCCATGTTGTCAAAGAATGGTATGGACCAAATGCTGTGCAACTGCTCTTGTCCATCAGACCAAACCCCAGCCATGAGAGAAAACCATAGCTTCCTTCACATGAGCCTTTTTTGTTTGTTTGTAGGATTTCTGAACCAAAAGAGCACTAAAGTGGAGTCAGATGTGAAAAATGCAGGGGACCCACAGAAAGTAGTACAGTGTAAGAAGGAACCAGTAATACAGCAAAAGGGAAATTCTGGTAAGGCAGGAGTTCAAATGCTTTTTCTTTAGTGGTTTAAATGAAGATCTGCTGCAACAAGGCAGCAAGCTTCCCAGGCAGGCAATGAAATACCACCTCCACAAACAGCTGCTCCTCATCATCCCATGAAGCTTTCTGGTCTATTTAGAGGCTGCCAGTGCTTTCATCTCACTCTTCTGCAGTTGCAGACCACTGCCCACAAACGAGCAAAGGGTGCATAAGCTCTGAGTTAGAACAACCAGCTCCCCTGGCAGGTGATTTCTCCAAAGCAGAGCAGTGTTCAGAGGCTGGCACGGCTGCAAGCATAGCAAGCACTGTTCAGGTCTAGCTAACCAGCAACCTTGGGAAAGAACTTAGAGCTTGCACTAACATGGGGCAAGCATCTCACTAGGGCAATCAGGAGTCAGGTATTTTTAGCAAGTGATCCTGATTAACACTGTCTGTCTGGAAATTTAGGTACCTAATATTAAGAAACAGCATGAAATTTTTCAGAGCATCCTAATGGGCAAGGAGTTAGTTGCAAAGACCAGAGGAGCTATCTGACCACGAATCAGAGCAATCTGACTTAGGATTTCTCTGTAACCAGAGAAGCACCCCAAGACATAATTCCACTTCATCCTAAACTAAGCAACTAAAACAGCTTTGCTGAATCACCCTGTGGAAGCAGCTTGCTTTCCACTGCCAATGAAGGGAGTTTTGCTTTGGTGTTGGTACCTGATGTTTGATGCAGTTAATGCCAACCTTTGCAACACAGAAGCCAGCAGCAGAGCTAGGAAAGATGAGGCAGGACCCCAGTGGTCTGACTGCCTTTTGCCAAAACCCACTGGCCCAGGGCTCACCTCTTCTGCTGTCCAAAAGGAGGCCTGAGCCTGCTTATACATCTTCCATATGTCGGGGTACTGGATGGGGAAGATGACAAACCGGCGGTGATTTTTTCTGAGTAGAGGCTCTTCATCGAGGTCAGAGCCATTTTCAGCAGCACTCGACTTCGAGCTCTGAAAATAAAGCACAGTTCTGGTTCAAGTTACCACTATTTATTCCTCCTCCTCACACTATCCCAAAGGTGTGTTTGAAAGTTCACCTGTGTCACAAGCACTCACCTGGCCCCCTGGGGTCCGTGTCCCCTCGCCCTCCATCGGTGCTCCCGGCAGCACTGCCTGTCTGCCCGGCTCTACCCAGCACAGCTCATACCAACACCCCCTCCCAGCTGTGCCAGTGGCAGGAAGTGCCAACACCTGTGTGCCAAAGACAAAGCCTTTTGCAGCACGGAGGGGAAATCTGCCATGGGAGATACCAGCTACTGTGGTACCACACATGGGGAGATATATGAGAGGTCACAGCTCAGTGCTGCAGCCTGCAACCAGCACAGCTCCATCAGGCTCACTGCCCTGCTTCCTCCCAGACATCTGCCATATGTTCAGCCTTTAGGACCTGAATGGACTGCCTTGAGGAAGCCCTGAGACCACAGGAACTAATGCCAAGTGACAGAGAACAGCCCTGTGCCACAGCGAGTCAGTCTCAGCATGGAGGTTTGTGTATGCAATCTGTGAGGGCAGCCCACACAACAGTGCGAGTCTGGAGGCTGCTATGGAGGCTCTCCCTCAAGTGCCAATATGAAGCCAATGGGCCTCTTCCCAGCAGCTGGCAGCAGGAGAACCTCTGCCTGGAGTCACCCATCTCCACACTGATCCTTCTGTGTGGACTCCCAGAACAGCTCTGTGCACAGCTCTGCCTCAGAGAGTTCCAGCCCAGCCAAGCTGGGGAGGTGGGGACAGCTGATATTTAGGAAACAGGCTAGTGAAAACAGCAAGAGGCCACTCTGAGCAGAGCCTTCACCCCACCTCTGGCTAGGGACATCTGCTCCCAGGATCAATCCCTGCATCCCTGCAGACATGTCACCAAGCACCTACGAGAAACAACTGCTGTGAGGAGCTGCCAAGTCAGCACGCAGCAACCTCTGCAGAAGGGCTGGTGACTCACTGATCAGAAGTTCAGCCAGCAGGATGCCTTTATGAACTGGTTCCAAGATCCCACTGACACTACTGTAGAGGATAACTAACCACAGGCAGTATGCAAGGTGTTCCATATAATACAGCAGAGAAGGGGAGCTGAAGGTTTTGAACACCATTTCTACCTTCCTGGAGGTGCCAAAGTCCTTTCCCTACCCAGTCTGCTTGTAACTACTCACATAATAAAAATTATTCTTTACTTCAGTTTGGAAAATATTCTCAAACAGATAATGCCATTCACATTTAAAAAAACAAACAAAATCCAAACATACATTCACATTGCATAGCTGGCAGATACCATAGATGCCCAGTGAATAAATCACTGAATCACATTCTGGGTTACAATTCTACCACTTTATTCTATTTTTAAATATTACTCAATTACAGGAGACAGATTTCCCAACACCATCTTGCAGAGTCTCTGCTGAAGACCTTTTTTACTTCCCAGGACATTGAGATGGTTACAATAACTCACTGGAATTGGGAGAATTTGGGGTTGGCAGGTTGGGCACCTTGTCTCAGCACATACTTTCTCAGGGCCTGGCATCCAGCCAACAACTCCATCTGCTTCTGCACCAGCTGACATCCTTGAAAATGGAAACACTGCAAAAGTGTTCCCTGTTAGCCCAGGCACTGCTGGCTCATGGACAGTTTGCTGTCTTCCAGGACTCCCAGATCCTTTCCTACAGAGCTGCCTTCCCAGCAGGTCAGCCCCATCCTGTACTGGTCCCTGGGGTTATTCCTCCCCAGGTGCAGGACCTGCTTTTGCCTTTGAGTTTCAGATGGTTCTTCTCTGCCCATGTCTCCAGCCTGCTGAGGTCCTTCTGAAGGGTTGCACAGCCCTCTGGGGTATCAGCTGCTCCTCCCAGCATTGTGCCATCAGCGAACTTGCTGAGGAGTCATTTGCCCCTTTCATCCAAGTTAGTGATGGATAAGTTAAACAAAACTGGGCCCAGCACTGAACCCTGGGGGATATAACCAGTGACAAGCCTGAAACCAAAACCTGTGATGCTGACCACATCCACAGAACTTGATCCTTCAAGTTCTGCCATTCAGCAGTGCTCAATCCACCTCATCATCCACTCACCCAGCTCACACTTTCTGAACTTGCCTATGAGAGTACCATGAGAGACATTAGCTAAAGCCCATGTAGACAAAATCCACAGCTCTCCCTTGTCTATTCAGCCAATTGTCCCATCACAGAAGGTAATCAGATTGGTTAAGTATGAGTTCTCTTTGGTGAATCCATGGTGACTACTCCTGATGATTGACTTCCATGTGCTTAGAGACAGACTGCAGGGTGAGCTGTCTCATCATCTTTCCAGGGATTCAGGTGAGGCTGACTGGCCTGTGGTTTTAAAAACTGTACCAGTATTTTGTTAAACAGATGGTTTTGGATGTTTGGGTTTTATTAATTTTAAAAAAGGAAAGGTCAGTCACAGAGACTACACCATACTATACCACAGAGACTATACCATACAGGAACCTCCTGCTCAACCTATATATCCCACCTCCCTTATCACTCTCAGGGGTGCAGAGGGGTTTCACAGGCAGGCTGCTGTGAAAGGAGCCTTTTACAGACAGGCTCTAAATTGGCAGGCAGGCATGCAGCTAGTGGCTACAAGACAATCCCATCTTCTCTAACTCAGTTTCAAGTGTGTGGCACATTCTGATCACTGCTGAAGCTTCTGAGCAGTCAGCACCTTGTGCTGAAGGAGCAAATTGAATTCCCTGCCTTGCCTTCCTGGATCCAGGGACACGGGATACTGACAGGAGTGTGAGGGGCAGGAGAGGTAGATCTACCTTAGATCTGCACCCCAGATCTTTCTCTTAATGCTATGATAGTGCATAAAACAGTCAACATTCACCATAATGACAAAGAGCACCCAGTTTATAATGTGTATGTGCTTCGTTCTGTTCAGACGACGTGATCCAAATGCATATAAGAGATGAAGCTGGCGGGCACAGGCCACCAGTTCCAGCAGGGTCAACCAGAGCAGACTTCCCAGCACCACATCCAGATGAGGCTTCAGTATCTCCAAGGATGGAGACCACACAACCTCTGTGAGCAGCCTGTGCCAGCATCTGACCACCTTCAGAAAAAATAGTGTTTTCTTACATGTAAATGCAACCTCTTGTACTTCAGTGTATGACCAATGCCCCTAGTCCCACCATGGGGCACCACTGAGAAGAGCCTAGTTCTGTCTCCTTTATTCCCTCCACTAGGTATTTTCACACACTCACAAAATTCCCTGGAGTCTTCTCCAGGCTGAACAGTCCCAGCACTCACGGCCTCTCTTTGTACGACGGATGCTGCAGTCTCTTAATCACCAGCCCTTTGCTGGACACACTCCAATACATCATATCCCAGTTATTCTGCAACTGCGAGAGACAAGCTCTTCTGGTGATGACAATAAACCAAATGGACAACAAAAACTCCTTGGGGTACTGAAACGCCTTCCATTAATTTCAAATTCTGCAAACTAGAAAATAATTAACATATATACACACATATAACCATCACCCCACAGCTACAGCTGTTGGGCTACATGTGCAAGTATCACAGTTACATGCCCTACATCAGCTGTAGCCAAGGAAAAAGCTAAAGGTGCTGGCAGAGCCAGCACTGTGATGTGGAACACACACGCAATGGTATGTGACCATGAACCCTCACACATCCTTGTAGTTGCATCCCATGAGCTCCCAAAGCTTTCAGGCCAGCCCTAGGCAGCACAGCAGTGGGATTGGGAACACCATCACCATTCCTGGGAGAGAGGAATGCACTGCACAGCATCTGAGGAGCACAACACCGGCTGGTTCCACATGCTTGAGGGAATCACAGGACTACCATGCACTTCACTATGGGTACAGCGTGTCACTGCTCAGGGGGAAATAGTAAGGTGGTTTCTTACACTTGAATTTAATACAGCACACCTGGTTTTGGATACTTGATGAAACACAAGGGTTCAGGAAGACCACTTGGGTTTCTCTGCCATGATGATCCTTTCTCCTCGAACACCTCAGCCTAGCTTAGCACGGTTATACTGGGGGACACCAGAACGTAGCTCAGACGCCTTCCAGGGGCAGGCTTTCCTGGTCTACAGGGCCTGGGAAGCCAGGAACATCACCAACACCCACACCTGCCTCTATGGCAGCTCGGGGCAGAGAGGACGAGCTCTACCCTCCCGGCCCGGCAGGTGCAGAACTCGCGGGGCAGCCGGGGCGGCGCTGCCCGAACCCCGCGGCCTCCGCTCTGAGGCCCGCATCCCCCGCAGGTGCTGCCAGCGCTCCCCGAGCGCGGGGGGACGAGCCCGTGCCCTTTCCAGGGCTGTCGGAAGCAGCAGGTCCGGGGTGCCCGGGATCCCCCCAGAGGCAGCGCAGCGCCCGGCGGGGCGGGGAGGCCGCGGGGCCCGGCCGGGCAGGGCTGCGCTGCCGCGGCCGCGCCACTCCCGGAGCCCCCGCCCGGGCCAGCCCCGCTCCCCGCCCCGCCTCGCTCCCCGCCCCGCCAGGCCTTACCCGCTCCGGGCCCGCCGTCTCCTCCGGCACCGCCGGCCCCCGGCGCTCGCCCATGGCCGGCGGGACTGCACGGCGAGGGGCGGCGGCGGAGGAAGGGGGAACGGCCATCGCCAAGGCCGCTCCTCCCCCGGGGAGGACTCAGGAATTATATAACACACACGGCGTTGCAGCGCTTGGAGGCGCTCGCCAACGGCCTGTCAGTGAATGTGCGATTGATATTTCTCTCTTTTCTTGGAAGCAGAGAGAGCTTCAAAAGATTCAAGTGTTCGCTTTCCAGAAAGGTAACTTGCGATGCTGCTTTAAGAATTCGTGCGTCTTTAAGAATTCTGGGTATTTTTTTTTTAAAGGCACCTGGCTGCCAGAGTGACTGGGACCGCCCCTGTCTCCATTCCCAAGCATGGGAAGGGGGAGTCAGGCCAGCTGGGCTTCTCCGTTTCCTGCGGCTTTTTAATGCCTTGTGAGAGACGCTCAAGCCTCACCAGGGCAGGGGATAAGAAAAGTTCCGTGGTGAGATCTGTGAGTATCACCAGCTCTGGTTTTCTTTCATGGAGTTTTCTGAGGAGCAGAAACACGTGCCTGAGAAGCAAGTGACTGAAAAGCACAGCAGGAACAAACAGTAAATGAGAAAAGATGGATTCACAGTAACAATATCTGCTGGTACCTGAGTACTGTTATTTCTGAGACATTCTTGAAGTTTGATTTCCCAGAGATAACTGCACAAGCTGCTTAATCTTTACGTCCAGCAACAGCTCCACTCATATCAAGCATATGGACTACCAGGGATTCCAGATTTTTGTCCAAAGCAATTAGAGGAACGCTGACTGATGTAGAGCAAATCAAATCGACTCATTTACAAACAAATTATATTGATGTGTGCAATACAAAGTTTGCTGGTGGTTTAAGGGGAAAATGCATGAGTTTCTGGACCAAAACCAACAAGCAGCCTACTATTAGTATTAAATGAGATTGACTTGCCTACCAGTTGTCTTGTGGTTGTGGTCTACCAGACCACAAATCTGATTGTCCTGGCTACTGTTTCAGAGCTCCCTAAATAAGGAAGTGCCATGTCCTGACGAGGATAAAGATCTACCATAAATTAATATAATCAGCAATAGAAAAATGTTCAAGTATTTGGAGATAATAAGGGCAGGTGTTTTAAGAAGTTATGCACAGCAAGTGTCTATTTACATGGTACCTAAAGATGCACAAAAAAAGAAAAATACTGGAAAGGATTAGCCAAACAGCATGTGGTTGTTCTTGCACCTCCACAAAAATATGCCAACTTCTGTTAGCTTTGTTTTATATAAATTAAATCATGTACACAACACTGAAATACAAGCGCATACAAATTAAATACCGCATTATGCACAATTTTGCAAGATTTCAGTTTACTCAGCTGTACCTACAATATCCTATTTAGAACAAGCTCCCTGACAGGTGGTGGAAGCTCTATTCTTCCCTTAGTTCCTCACTGCTGCAGCAGGTGTCCTGCTCTGGCAAACGTAGTCATCTCTGCCTTTTAATATAGGTTAGATGTCCACTTTTGTATATGAAAGTGCCGTTTCAGGTAAATTGAAGACTTTTCATTTATAAATTAAACTGAAACCTGCTTTTCAGCTTAGCACTGTTCACTCTCAGAAAACCAATTTGTAAATAATTTCAGTATGTCTAAAGCCTAAAATTTCTTTAAGTCTCCTTACAGAGAAAACCTCACCACAGATTGTGGCAACAATCTATTTTCCAATAGGTTTACATGCCTACAGTATTCAAGCATACTCATCTGGTTAGCTGCCACTGGACAAAGGGATACTGAACTTTCACCATTATGGAGAAGTCCTGAAACATCTGGGAGCAACCAAATGCCTCTTGTTATACTAAATAATCTATTACTATAATAGTCTGTGGTGATAATAGACAAAAAATACTTTTATATTAAGCCATTGACAAAGGGGGAAAAGAGTCTGTCACAGGACTGTGTTTCAAGCAAGACATGAAGTTATCCTCTTAGACAACTCCACAAAAAATCCATTAAAAATACCTAAAAAATTAAAAGCCCTCCATGCTTCTCAATTCAGCAAATCTGAAACAGCTGCAAATGAAAGCCACAAAAGCAATTTCCAACTAGCAAAGGATCCATCGGAGCTCCTGATGAAGTCAGAAGTCCTGATGGGCAACAACTGCACTGTGATAGAGGCTACATACCAGTTTTGAAGCCTGTTCATGTCCTCCCCATGGAGACCACGTGGAAATGTCCAGCAGTGTGAGTTCCAGGTAGTCCCTGAAGCTTTCACATGACCCATTCACCTATGCATTGTAACGTGGGGACATACATGCTACCTCAGAATAAGCTAATGCCACACGTGCTGAAATCCAGTTAACCTGGACATGCAGAATTTTCTATTTGATTTTAGCAGACCTGTTACTAAAAGTGCAAAGTGATGAGTTCAGGAAAAAGGTCAAATCCTACAAAGTTTGAAAAGAGGAAGGGAATAAGAGTGAGGTATCCAGTTTGCCTTACAGAGAGGAAACCAGAAAAATTCAAATGTCAGTGAAGTGAAGAGCACAGACAGAGCAGCAGCTCAGAATGGCATTTAGAGATGCACAGAGACATGATCCACAGGCTATGGGGCCCTGTAAAGGAGGAGTTAGGGCATAGTAGCAAGCATGGAAAGGAGGTTTTATTAACCTCCTGGTTAGTGAACCATCTTTCACATGGTGTTAAGGGTGACCAGGAGCTGTGCTGAATTCCAGCTCTTCCTGAGAAGCAACCACACAGGTGGCTGATGGTGGCTGGGGAACTTTACCCACCTGCACACCAACTACCACGGAGAGCTGCAGCCTTGCTCCCTACACACTTCTCTTCAGATGCATGGAAGTAAATTTTTGAAAAACAGCAGGTCTGTACGATTTGCACAATTGCATACAAAAATAAACATTGTTTAAGAGTTGAGGAAAATGTCCTTTCCTCTGCCTCCCTGAATGCTGCTGTGCTAGGGCATTGGTTTGGATTCACAAGTTTGCCAGTTCACAGCTTTATCACTGCTTGTTATCTAGTGACCAAATTACTAACTTGCAGAAAAGAAGGATCACTTCCAAACCATACAGGTAGAAATGACCACTTGATGGCAATTTTTCATTCCTGGAAAATTATCAAAGCTGGAGCAATCGATTTACCTTGTGGATACAGCTATCTAAGGAAAAGAAACCAAAGCCAAAAATTAGCACTAAAGAATCAGTTTTCCATAGATTCAGATTAGGACCTACTCTAGTAGTTAGCCATAACATTTTATTAGCAGCTACCTTTATCTCCTCTTTTAGCAATGGTGAAGAGCTAAGGACTTAAAAGTATTTAAAAAGTGTAAACATTACAGAATTTAACTAATTTCTCTACGACATTTTAAGTGAACTAACAGAAGGGCTTAAGTCAAAGGGAGAGGAGGTGTATGATTTTAATAAACATTTTTCTTATTAAAATCTTGATATAGTTTAAATATACCATACAGAGGAAAAAAAGCTATTTATAAAGCTACATACATATTTCAAGTCAATGACGACAGCATATATCATTCTAAATCCCCTCTCTGCTTATCAGAATGCCTTGTGTGTGTATATATGGTGAGCTACTGTGCTATCTGCATAACTTTTGTCTAACTATACATTACAGGACTTAAAAAATGTTTAAGCTATATACAGAAATATATATACATATAACATATATTTATATGTTATACATACACATACACTTATATACATATACACACAATACATATATATATTTACACAGTACTTTACATGTATATATGGCCTTTCATCCAAGGACCTTGGATACTTGTTAGTACATCAAGCCTCACAAAGCTTTGTGAGGGACAAAGTTTTATTTTACAGACTGGAGCTCTGATGCCTGTTCTAAACAGTTTCTTTTGTTGCTTTCTACTAACTTTGCACATATCAGTTAGAGGCAGTTTGGGTAGAGGAAATAATCACAGCAGTTCGATAGCCAGGCATAAGGTAGATGTTGCTTTGTACCTTTGCAACTTAGCCTCCTTAGTACAAGAGAACAGCCATACCAGCATGAATTTTCTCTATACTAAAATGCCTCTATCTAGATTTGTGAGGCTGTACTGTTTTTTATCTTTTAGCAGAGCAAAATCTAATACAGTTTTGAAATTAAGATGTGCTGGAGGTCACAACAGGAAATCTAGACCACACTCAAATCTTTGTACATTGAAACTATCCTTTTCTAGGATGATCGATTCAGAGGAACTGTTAGTACCTGCAGAAATAATTCCATATCTATTTATCTGCAGTTTAACTACACAAGCCTGAAACAGTCTGCCTTATTTAGAAAACAGGATTTTCAGCATCAGTTTGGCAACTGGTGATCAGAATTTGTGGCATCAACTGTACTCCATACCTTTAGCAACTAAATAAATGATGAAAACAGAGGCTTTTTTGAAAATCAGATGTAGGTAACTTTTAGTCATCCTAAATCTAACTGACAGAAAGGAAAACCCAAAAGAACTCCGGCAAAGATGAGTTCCACTGGGATTTGGATGTAACAATACTTCAGCTCTTCCCGAAAAAAAAGGGAGAAAAAAAAATCATCAACATGGACTAATGGGGTTGGAGAAGTAAGAAAGAAGAACATCACTACCACAAAAGCCCTTATACCTCAATACTTCAGTCTGCTAAGGTTTCATAAATTTATTTTGACACAGAAAAAGTAGTTCCTTTCTTCATTAACCAATTCCTATCTCTCAAAAATCTCTCAAGCCTTAGGGAAAATAAGTCCTAGATTATGGTCAAAGACTGCCCTCCCCAAAAGCAACCAACCACTTCAAAAGTGAACATACAGTAGAACTCACTACAATGAAGTTCGAGAATTTTATTCTAACCTAATTGCCTTGAGATTTTTCAGAACAAGCCACTTTTCCTTCAAACCAATTCTCTTAAAAGGAGAGGTTGCCTGGCCCGTTTCTTTCAGGAGTCTCTGCTAACTGTAAAATGTGGACTAAATGTCTTCTGCATGTCAATTTTTCAGCTACAAAATTCAGATTTTTAATGAACAACTATGTTTAGTGTACACTGTTAGCTAAAGTATAAATGGCTTAATAAATAAAAACTATTGTTTCTTCAGTATGACTTGGTATTTTGTGTGTAATTTCTTTATTAAAAAACTGTAACAAGATACTTTAAAAAAGGCTAGATACAAAAGAAGTTAAGCAGCTCACGAACATTAAAGTTTTCCAAAAAGTGTATCTTCAATAATCATGATCTTATAAACATTTTACAGTTACCAGAAAGTGCCCAGGCTGAGTTTACATAGTTAGATAATGTAGTACAAGTGTTGGGTTAGAACTGGTAGTGGAACAATCTCCTGACTGTCTGTTCACTGTTACAAGGATACAAAAATGTTGATTGTGAACCATGAAATACTGTGCATTGGCCTCATCATATATGTACAGGGAAAAAAAACCACTAAAGGTACAGATTACATGCAAAATATTAGTGATGGTATCTGATGTGCCAGAGTTCAATGCAATAGAACAAAAATTGCAATGGAAGTGGTTTCATAAGTGAACAATCCCAACTCTGGGATCTGAGCTGTCAGGAACTTTTTACAAGTTCAATATACATGCTACACAACTGCAGCCAACCACAAATTAAACACCATTAAAAAAAAGTTAAAAACACAGAACATACTTAATTTTTTATTTCGAAATTCCCTACTCCCTCTATACAAGAACCTTTGCTGAAACACTTTCCACAAAGGCAGCAGTGAATTTTCAGAACATTTTACATATTTTCCCTCAGCAAAAAGATAAATCACAGTGTAAATTATATTGTTCTGCTGTCATCTTTGGCTGGGGTTAGGCAAAGGAGTCATTAACTAGCAAACTGTTGCAGTCACATATTGCTAGTGCTCCTTAGGCCTTTATGTTACAAATTTAGTACAGGAATGTTTGCATTTAAATCTTTGAAGTACCACCAGGGGTATGACAGCATTAACTTTCATAAACTTTTATAGACAAATGGAAAAATCTACAAAACTTAGCTAGTAATATTACACAGCAATACACACTTTTTATACTCTACACAAAACCAAAATTCTTGGTCTTAATGGCGAGTAACAATTTTTGTTTCAAAATCTGCTTAGAGGAATAGAGTGGGACATAAAGGCGAGAAATGCAAGTGTTTGCTGTTGGAAGATGTTGGTCATCTGGTGGCCTTATTGTGATGGATGGCATAGGCTGGAATCCCTCCTCACTGGCAGGCAATGATGGACTTGAGGTCCAAAAGTAAACCTGAAAAAAAAAGACAGCATTTAAAATTATGATTTACAAGGCTGAGATTCATACTGCCTACAAATTTGTGCAGGGATAGATTAAAAAAGAACTGCTCAGTCACAGCAAGTTTGATCATACTATGTTCTCTTCAATATTCCAAACTAAACTCCACAGTCATGCTACTTGCTTCTGTAATAGCTTCCTTCACTTCCCTTTGTCAACTGCTCATTCATAAAACTGATAAAAGCAGCACTCAAAATTATCCTGTATCCACAAATCCTCAGTAAACAGCATGTCCCCAGATCCATCTGGGAAGGCGGTGATAGCCATCAATACAAATTGAATCAGGAATCTCTCACAAACCAGTTAAGAGACTACAGAATGTAGTACTAGTACAGACAAAAGGCAGCAACAGAGAATATTTGGTTTATTATCTCAGTTGTGAAATACTGAGTCACCACCAAGGTGTAACCATAGACACTCCTTGAAAAATGTGCTCTACGGTTTCCACTTTTCAGAGTACTTTGTTTCCTTTTAGTAGACTGTAAGGGAGAGACAGTACCTTCAAGAGTAGGAAGTTAAAAACAGTTTTACTAAGTGTGTAACAAATAAAATTTACAGGCAGGTTTTTAAAATTAAATCCCCTGAACAATATCATATTATTTCATGCTTCTCATCAGTTAGTCCTAAAGGGCTTTGAGAAGAATATGGTATCATTACTGACATCTTACAGAGAGGACACATATACTGCCCTCACGATACAAAGAAGACAGGTGAGTAGATGATCCATGAAGAGAACTCGACCTCAAAACCCTACCATCCCACACCACAGATGAGAAACCACAGTTACTCATCTTAAGAGCAACTGTGCAGAGTGAAACTGTGCTCTGTAAGAGACCTATGAACAGAGGGAAGGACACACCACGCTTACTGGCAGTTACAAGAAGGTCTAGGATTCACACCCGTTGTTTCCAGAACCAACAGTCTTACACCCAACCCTACTACCCTGCTCTTCACAAAGTCTCTGCAGGCAGACACAGTTAAGATTACTATCGACACCAGTTATTTCAATTCTTCTGCATGTTTCCAATGGGAATGGACAACTTACCAGATCTTGTCAACTATGGACCAAAACCAACGCTTGAATTGCAAAAGCTTCTCAGCATTTTCTCCTGTGTGAAATAAAAAGGTATACAATTCAGCTGCTAAACTGGACAGTAACATTAAGAGACCTGTTTTATGTGTGCTGCAAGTTGGATCTCAGCTACAAACGCATTCATTAAGTTCTGATATTGGAGACCAGTAATTTCAGAACTAATAGCTTTGAATGCAAGGCTAACACTGATATAACTCAGTACCACTCCCTCTATTCCCTCCTTACCAAAAGGCCCAACTGCAGCTAAATGCAGTTTAAAAACTATGCAAGAAGTATTAAACTTGCATTCATCAAATTTATAGTTCTAAAGAATTTTCACAAGAAAGATATAACACCAATAATACAATCCATGTATTTAAAATCTAGTAACAAGAGAGTTGGAAAACATGCTTTCTCCACCCTTCCTTAACTGAAGGTAAGTATTTTCAAAGGAATGTAAAAAAATCCCAAATAATAACTTTACTATAGCTTTTAATAACTGGCGTATTAACTAATGCCAGATTTGAAGAGATAGTTCAGTTTAATGCTGAACTAGGTAACTACTCCACACAGAAAAAACAATGTTAAGTTATCCCTGCAACTCTATTTATAAGTAAGCTATTTCATACCTGATTCATCATTGAAAGAGGTAAAGCTGATTAGCATTTGCACATTTACTTCACCACAACCATTAACCAAAAGTCTGAAATCCTCTGCTGTCAAATCTTCTAATGAGTTCTTTGGAAGTACATCCAGGAGCCCCTTCCTCATTGCCTTAAATGAAAACCACAAAATGCACAAAATTGTAACCCTGTAACTTTTAAGACTGACTTTAAATGCATTACTGAAAAGTTTCGTGTGAAATCCCCTTTAACTCAAGATTCATTATTCCCTGAGCTGTTCTTTTCTTTTGAAGCTTTATCATCTGAGATGCAAATCTTCTGAAACAAAGAACTGCACTATTTTTTACACCCTACCTACTAGAGCAAAAGAAAGCAGTAATGGTTTGAGCTAGTATTTCACCAGGATCAGAAGCACATGCAGTCTTTTAATGCTAAAATGTTCAGGTATTTTGCTAAGCTGCGCTGAATCTGATCAGAATTTAAAAAAACGCATCTGGCATGTTATTTCACTTTGCTTCTTTAGACACATACCAACTCTGCTTCAAAAATATTACACACACACACAGACTCTTATATTCTATGTAAGTAAGTAGCATCCTGAGAAGAAAGGAAATTCCATATTCAAAATGGAATACTATGAATCAAGTTGCTTTAGATAATTCCAAAATGAATTCAAGTGTAAGGGTTTTCAACTCTTAAAATAAACAAGAGTCAAACTATTAATATATGCAGACATGGAGATCAAGTATCTTAATTCCAGGAACATGTTCTTTCTGTGAGAATTTTGACCTCAGCTGCACAGAAGTAATCTGGCAGCCTGTTCCCCTATCTCAGATGTGCAGCAGGAAACCACAATGAGCACAAGCAATAAAATTTAGATGTAGCATCATGTGACTCTGGCCTTCATCAACTGTCTACAAAAATATAATTCCTAACATTTATTCCATATGTGTTATTTGACAAGGGCTTAAAAAAATGCAAATAATTTTTAATATGGTTTTCTAGTCAATTTTTACGTTTCTTGCCAGGCTAGTAGAAGTGGTTTTATAAATGATTTTTCCTTAGAACAAGGATGCAAACAAATCAAAAGTAATAAATTATTAGAACAAAGTATCTGCCAAATACAAAGCCAAAGTTCCAAGAGGATTTGTGCCATTTGAACTCAAGAAATGAACATATATATTTAACCAATGAGACCCACTATAAAAGAAATTACTCAAAGTACTCGGTCTTCACAGTACTGCATAAACAGCTATACAATTTAAAAAAAAATAAATACTTTTAATCAAGCTGTCAAGACTTTAAAGAAACCTGATTAGCAACACCACAATGAGGAGAATAACTAACTGGCTGAAGTATTACAGATTTTTTTTCTTCTTTTTTAAAAAAACACCACTAAAGACTTACATGTAGAGGCTGCTCTGCTACTACCAACATTCGGTGTTCTGCATATTTCCGGACATACTCATATACATTCTGAGGAGTGACTGGTATATTTACACCGTTGGAAATAAGTTCAACCTATGGCAAAGAAATAAGGAACATTTAAAAGGGGGGAGAAGAATAGGAATATAAAGGAAATGAGATTATTACAACCATCACAGTATGCTGCAGAGTGATTTATTGCTTAATATACCTCCAAACCCAAGCAAAATTTACTACTACAGCTTAGTTTTAAAGATTCCCTAGGATTGACTACAGTTGCTAGGGTCTATGGTAGGCTCTATATCATTTTCAAAGAAAAAAATCCAGGCTTCAGTGTCTAAGAACACTGCACTGATTCCAGGAAGAGTAAAATGTTCTATCTGCCATGTGAGAAGAGCATGGATTATGTGTACACTACAACCTGCATCAGCTGTCGAACTCAAAACTACAGAGCACAGATTCAGCCATGCTTACCTGCCCTCCACCCTCCTCCTTACACAGGTCTATTGCAAAGGCTAAATCCATTGCTGCAAACACAGCATCAGCATCTGCACTCTGGGAAGCGAGGATGAGTTGCCGAAGGCTTTCATACATAACTGGATCAAAAAAAGCAAAGTCGTGCCAGTTCACCTATAAAAATAGCAGAGAAGTTTGAAACATAACGGGTGTTTTTAAGAATGTGTTCAAAATTATGTGATCTGTGCCAGATCTATGCACTAGCAACAAAGGATACAAACACACAGAAATAAATGCAGTTAAACTCCTACTTTCAGTCTGCTTTAGAAGGTACATTAGCATAGTGGAAGGAATACATATTCAACAAAAAAAACCTGAAGAGAAGAATTACAAGACAATTGCTCTTGAAGTCACCAAGGGGTATTTAAAGGTCGTTTCTGCCATTAACTCTTTTTCATTAAAGATTATACCATGTTGGATAATTGATTATGTGATCAAAACTGAATTTAAAGAAAGACCAGCAGTAACAAACCCTGGTTTAAGTTTGTTGGATCAGACAGAACTTACAATGCCGTTGACTAATGCATGAAAAGTGCTGTACATTATCAGGTTTTACTGGGCCAGGGTAGAAGTTTTGGTCAAAAGTTTAGGTAATTATTGCTCTCAATTAAATTATACCTACACCTGAGACAAAATTTTAGTTACAAATTAATTCCATGAGCTCTCTCAAATATCCAAAAAAAAGCTTTTATGTAAGCTATTTCCTAGCATTGTCTAACACTATCATTTCTGAGTCTCAGGAAGAAAAAAAGGAGATACTATGAAGTTTCTGAAGAGAGTTGAAAGCTAACCTATTACAAATCATTACATCTTAGTCAAATACCTGACTTCTACTACATCTACTCTGTTCAAAATCTAGGAAATGAAAAAAATTAACAGTCCTCAAATTAAAGACCTCCATACAGTTCCAGTATCAACTCGGCTAATTAATACATATGTACCTGGGGGAAAAACACAGTTTTATAGATGATAAGTAATTTCAAGAAATTTAAGTTTTTATATTCAACTTACCTTTCTGCCAAGTAGAACTTTGATTACATGTCTATTTAACGTGATGGGACATAGTTCATTCTGCAACAAGCACAATCCTAGGATTCTGAAAAAATATATTTGGAGTTTGTTTTGGTACAGCAGAAATTACACTAGAGATCTTTCAACAAACTCACATTTAAGAGTTCAAATATTCTAAGAATTAAGCTGGAGCTAGCTTTCTAAATTTATTGGTCACAAATGAAAATCATGGACATACATAATTAAAAAAAGAAGGGTAAAAACTTAAAAATTTAACAGGAAAAGAAACCTCAAGTTGACATATGCAAATTCCCCACTATTTAGGCTCAGTGTGAGAAATAGAGACCACAAAAAATAAAAAATTGTTTGTCCAGCCTGGATCATTGGTACTCTCCCATGTGTTGTGTATGATTGTCTTTTACATTTTTTCAGACTATAAAAAGTTAATGGTAGCATACCTGCCAATGTTTCGGAAACAATTCAGCCTTGCTTCTGTGTTTTTACCAGGTCTTGGTGTATAAAAACCTCGTTTTCCAGGTTGGTAGAAAAGCGGTGCATTATCATCCCCATCATCTGTATCATCCAACTCCATATCTACTACACTGCGGCTGGATCCATGTCGCTTTCGATTTTCCTGTTTTGAAAGTCAAAACAGCAATTAACACACTTAGTTCTAGTTACTGACACACATCAAGCTATTGCTACTAGTCCCAAAGATTCAGGTTCCATTGGTTAAAAATTCCTGTGATATTCTCTAATGATGACATTGTATACTTTTGACTAATTACTGTTAATCCTTTCAAAAGAAAATTATTAAACAGAACATTGTCTTGCATGATAAAGAAAGCTTCCAATTGCTCCCGGTTTTAAAATTAACTGATAAAACTGAATCTTACATAATTTTTGTGCAACAGGTCATTACCTGCACTTTATCTGAAGAGTCTAGCAATCCAAGATCCAATATACTGTCAGCACCATTCTCCCTTGAGAAGGGAATAAAAAGGCAGATTTAATTTCACCATCATAGACTCACAGAATGATAGAATGGTTTGGGTTAGAAAGGGACCTTGAAGATCATCATTCCAACCCCATTTCTGTGGACAGGGACACTTTCCTCTAGACCAAGGTGCTCAGAGCCCCATCAACCTGGCCTTGAACGCCTTCAGGGATCTACAGCTTCTCTGGGTAACCTGTTCCAGTGCTTTACTATCCTCACAGTAAAGAATTTCTTCTTGTTATCTAATCTAAACCTACTCTCAGTTTGAAGCCATTCCCCTTGAATTGTTACTACAAGCTCTTGTATAAAGTCCCTCTCCATCTTTTTGCTGGCTCCCTTCAGGGACTGGAAAGTCACACTTAGTTCACCCATAAGCTTTCTCTTTTCCACGCTCAACAACTCCAATTCTCTCATCCTTTTTTCATAAGACAGGTACTCCATTCCTCTGACCATCTTGGTGACCTCCTCTGGTCTTGCTCCAACAGGTCCATATCCTTCCTGTGCTGGGGACCCTAGAACTGGATGCAGCACTGCAGGTGGG